TCCCTTCCTTCATCTCCAACTTCCTCCCTGTCTGTTCTTGATCACTTTTTCTCTTCCTCTCCCCTCTCAATTACCCCTTTCTTCCCTCTAATTCTCTCCCTGCCCCACCTATAGCTCCCATCTCTCGAGTTATCGCCCCCTCCCTGCCGCTGTCTGATGAAGTGATTAATGTTATCCTTTACGCTATACCTTTAGCCTTTCTGACCTTATGAAAAGGCAGAGACCCCCTCCCTTACAATGAATGTGCTGTCCTGACAGAGCCAGACAGAAAGAGAGAGAGGTAGATACACCCGGCAGACTTTGTGGGGGCTAGGAAGTTCACCTCCACCCCACGGAGGGAGACGTAGCTTCTGTCACAGTTGAGTTATGTGGAGATATTTCTCTGTGACATGTGCATTTGCCTTCACACACACACACACACACACACACACACACACACACACACACACACACACACAACTATCCATGTTGTTAATCACTTCATTGTCTCTTCACTGACATCATTCTGAGCTTATCTGAAAGCCCTGTTCAGGTGACATCACATCAACATTACAAAGCCAGTATATGTTTGTTTGTGAGCGGGAAGCAGCAGCTAGTGATGTTACTTCTGTAACAATCTGACTGGTTGGTGGAGGTGAAGCAGTGGTTTGAGAGAAGATGCCAAAAGATGCAGTAATAGGTAGAATTAAGATCAGAATGGATACAAATAGAAAGGGGAGACACCTTTATGTAATGCCCTGCGCTATGACAATCAGATTAACTATAAACCATCCAAAAATGTACCTGCCAACTCAGGTTACAAGTGAGTGTGTTATTACAGTATGTGGGAAGCACAAGAAAGAGTTTTCCTTCACTCTCTCTTGTATACATGCACACAACAGCACAGCAGCAGCCAATTATTGTTCTCAAACACTCATAAAAACAAGCATAGCTTGGAGGTTTTTGGTCATTAATAAAATAAAACCCGGCCTGCTTGCTGTAGCCAGATTGCTTGTTGTTCTTCCTGGTTGGTGTGGATGACACTCACCTCATCTGTCCTTCTTTTTTAGCTCTCATACTACACAGATCTTTATTTGTTCAGACACCTTATCTTTTACATTACTACCATTATGTCATTAACACCAATGGTCTGCGGCCATGTCTTTGTGTTTCTTAATGGGTCCCACAATGTTGAATTACACACCCCTTCATGGGGAACACTTCCACAATGCTCAGTCTGTCTGGGGTGGAAGAGGTTTTGCAATAACCAAAATAATCAACAACTGCACCACATATGGGAACTTCCCAGCTCTGCAAGCTGCGCATCGGCTTGGCAGCGATGTGCCACTGGTTTGGCTGGAACAGTGTTCGTGCTGTAAGTGCTAGAAGGATTCATTTTCACTACCACAGTTGATAATAAGTCAGACTGCTGATTCTGGCAAATCAGAACAATAGTCTTTATTTTGCAAGTTGACACAATTCCATTATGTAATCCATGGCCTGGCCTGAGGATGTTTACATTTTGCAGACTAAGAAGGGCAACAGGCAACAAGGTGATGTTGTGATCATCCTTCATCTGGAAAGCCTAAGTTCAGCAAAATCCAGCACACAAATAGCTTCCCGACTGATATCCCTGTACATGCACTACAGCAAGAAATTCCTACAAGGACCAACTGAACACCATAAGAGGCTAAAATAAACTGTCAAAAGGCCAGAGAAACCTAAGAACTGAGGGTCATATACAAATATACCCCAATAAAATGTTAAAAGGCTTCATTGCCGCACTTGTTTACATGATTACTTTTTGCAAGCCTTGTAGCCAGCCACCACAGTATGCCTGTGTAACTATGAGTATGCCATGAACTGCCAATGCGGCTCATATTATGTTTTTAGGCTGGGGTTCTCCCCACACCTGAGAGACCTGTGAATGTTAAACAAGAATTACAATTAAAAGCTCTTGGAGGATTGCAGAAATGCACTGTGCACATTGTCAACAGTTATAACTAAAGTGGCAGGCTACTATGAATAATATGGAGTACATCACGGCTTTTTATTTGGCTGCCAAGTAACAAGTTTCCAGTAGTAACGTGCAAGTCACAAGAAAACTCCGGAAAATGGGCATGCAAACAAAAATTGGTAATTATTGATGATGGTCGTTAACAGAAATGCTTACTACCTTGTTGTGTGGCTCATTATAGGTATATCACAGTAAGATGGAAAACAGTTTTTTGAGTGTAAAGTTGAGCACAACCTGCCAAGGTTACATGCAAAAACCCACTCAGCTCTGTTCGTGTAGACACAATGAAATATGCTTCTGAAAACCAATTACATAAAGTGCTACGTATATACACTCGCATGGAGACAGATGCACAGACTACTGTACAATAAACTGTAGTATAAAAGATTTTTAAAAAGCAGGAAATAAATGAGTTATAAAGCACTGAAGCATTCGGGGAGGATATTTATGACATGAAAGCTCTTGGCACACGCGCTCTCTCTGTCTCTGGAGACTCGACAAAAATCGGAAGGACCAGCTGCTGCCAGCTGCTGCCCATTTCTTCACAGTGGCCTCCAAACTCAGAGAGAAACTACCAGAAGGCACACTACCAAGATTCCCTCAAACCACCAAATCATAACTGTAGTCCACTTCTAAAACTACAGTGGGAATGTTGAACAACAGAATAGGAAGGACAGCAAATAAAGAGATCCTTTGTAGTGATTTCATTATTCAAGGTTTGGAATTTTATGGTTTAATGATACAGCTAGCTATGTTTCTGGTTTATACTGTATATCACATCCTACAGAGATCACACATCAGACAGTACATCCAGATACCGCATAATTTCTGTTAACGTAGATTCACATTTTATTGTGTCTGAATGGCAAGATAATAATGATTTGTTTCTGGTAAACTACTGACAAACAAACTTTACTAATATAGTTTTGCACACCATAAATCTTGTTGATGTGTATAAGAATGAAACTTCTTAAGAAAGAGGGAAGAAGGGTCGGCTGAACCTACTCT